AACTCAAGATTTTTTGCTCAGTATTAACAAATGGCAACAAACTACTTTCGCATCCACAAAAAACCATCATTTCATCCATGAATTATCGGATTTGAACTGAAGGATCACTGCTTCACAAACCTGCGTCGGGAATAATAATGCTGGGATTAGGTCCCGGGCAAGTCTCATCCTCATTTGTTGCAAGAAATAGGCAACGTCGTTGTTGTAAATAATTGGCTGCTTTCATGAGTTTTTGGTAATTGAAGTACCTGTCGTACCCGACCACCACAGCTCCCACCTTTGAAGGCTGAAAGAGGCTTCATTTATTGCTGACAAAATTTTCTAATAGCCCAACCTCTTCCTCCAACTTTATAGCATACATTATGGCACTATCATCAGAATCGTCCTCAAGTTGCGGGCCATGTCCGAAGTATGGGATACCTGTAAAGATGTAACTTCTTGGTTGAAAATGACATAGCTGAAGAATGTAGCTCACCAAGATTATCCATCTCATCGTTCAGCCCCTTAGCACCTATTAAATACACTTTCTTGCCATTCTTAGAAAGCCCGGCTCGATATAAGGTATCAGCTACTACGGCGGCTGGATTCACTATCAAATGCTAAAATGTGAACATTCCAAAAGTGACGTTTAAACTCAATATTACCTTGTCTAGTTTTGAACTGAAGCCAAGGCTGGCTAGTTTCCTTGCGTATTGTGCTCGCGATTTGGTTGCATTATTTGTTAGAACGATTACACGCTTATTGTTCTTCACAAGAAAGTCCAGAAGCTGAGGAGCACCGGGTATTACATCATCTCCAAGCCAAAGCACTCCTAAAGACGTTAAAGGTTAGTATTACACATATGAGAAAAAAGAGTGGCTTACCGTCCGCGTCAAAAATGAAAGTGTCAGTCTCTGGCAGCAAATTTCGGAACCCTTTTGGACATAGCAGCTCGGTCTCCATTTGAGAATCACAATTCCTCTGGGCTGTAGGTTCAAATTCATCGCGGTTGATACCAGAGTTCATAATTTTTGCCTGCAATGCAGTAAAATA